GCTCTCCATATAATATATTCTGGTGGTTGTTTTGCAAATGGAAATTCTCGAAATAAAAGTTCATACCAAACAGTTCTTAAAAAAGACAAAGAAAACAAAATTTCATTCATTAATTTGATTTATTTAAAATATTTTTTATTTTCATTTACCCAAATGCATAAACATCTGTTTGAGGTGTATGCTGTAAAAGTGTTTGTTCATTACGTGGATCAAGTTTACGTATTATTTCCGGTGCTAAATAACTTAACCAACCACGTGGTGCTATTATAGCTGGTTGTTTTGTGTATTGATAACATTTACGCAATGGTACTAAACCATAATCAGTTAAAATAATTCGATTATTTTGTACAAATATATTTGATGTACGTAAAGACATATGATTTATAGATTTTTCATGTAAATAACTCATTGCTTGAGCTATTTGAGCAGCATAGTTGATAGCTAAATTGAGTGGAATTAAATCATTATGTATATGAATCATTTCAAATAGTGTTGAACCACGAATCCAACTGAAAATAAAAGAAAAAATTCTTTTTTTTTTTATTGAAATAAAAATCAAATACAAGTTTACTTTGAAGCTATTGCAAAATTAGGACTTTCAACTAATGAAAAAAATTTTCAAAATAGAAAAATGATTATAAAAATTAATATGCAAAAAAACAAACATGAATACATACTACAAACACCTGTATATAAATTTAAATGTTCATGTCGAACTTTTCTTAATCGAAATACCTTTTAAATAAAGACAAAAATATTTAAACATATTTAAACAAAAAAAAAATCTTTTGTACTTGATGTTTAAATTGATTTAAAAATTCAACTTCACTTAGTTTCGAATCAGATTTTATTATTCTTATAGCAAGTTCTCCATGCCAATGAGCTCTGAATAAAAAGAGAGTTTATTTTAAAAAAAAATTGATCTATTTCATTTATTCTATTCTTTTTTTACTTCATTAATGTGCCAGATGATCGTCGTACTTCTTCAATCATTTTTATATTATTAAATACAATTACCCAATCTTGTATTGACGTTGACAGCTAATTAAGAAAAGAAAATGACTCTAATAAATGCTGAATCAAATCAATGTGAAAGACATAATTTTCATTAAAATTCACTCTTTTTAATGTAAGAAAACCTTAGGATTAATAAAAGAACACTTCAAGGTAAAAATATCAAAGTTTTCGTTCTCAACGAATGAGAATGCACCTCATCCTATGATTTCTAGAATTTTAAAATATACTAACAAGGAAGTGCTCCAACTGCGTCCCACCTTTTGAGCTTACAAGAAGGTCTTAGTAAGACTAGAAAAAACTTAAGAGAGTTCATCTCCATGAGATTTTGGAATCTGGTTAGGGTCGCTCTCATGAAAAATCAAATAGCAAAAATTTTCAACTGAACTTTTGTCCATAAGGAAGTCTAATGACTCATAGAACCTACTGAAAATTTCAGCCGAAAAGAATATTCCTTTGTTGATCTCTTCAACTTTCAAGGAAACCTAATTTTTTGTGATATATCCGTGGCAAACGACTTTCGTTTTAGACATTTAATATCTCGGCATATGAACATTAGTTTCGACTGAAACTTTCAGGAGATACTACGAGTCATTAGAATTATCTATGGACAAATTTTTAGGTCAAAATTCCGTTATTTCATTTTTGTGAAACGTGATCTAAACGGAGTGCTAAAATATATAGGGTAGAGATTTGGATTCACTTTTCCCTGTTTCCCTACAGATCGTGACAGACATTTTAATTAATTAACTAATTAATGTTTAGTTGATGAGCAAGTTAATAACTATATAATTATCTAATTAATTAAAAAATTGATGGCTAATCGGTGACACATTATTGACCCCTTGATGAATATTTAATTAGTAATTAATGGATATCATCGCAGACTGTATCAGACACCATGCAGCTCATTACAGACTGTGACAGACAATCTAGAATGGCATGACAGACTATGATAGACATGCTGGGAACTCGCCAACGACTGCGCAAGACGCTGTTGACATATGATCAAAGACCAAATATCAATAGCACGTTATCATAAGATATTAACTACTTGCTGATTCTAGTTCTGGAGAAATAAGTAAAAGGATAGTTCAGAAAGGTGTTGTAAAACATATAGATTAAAACAATCTTCTTGTGAACATCAAGAGCAGCTACATCGTGTTTCACATGTCAACCCCACAGGGATTGCGCTAACAGCCTTCAATAAATACCTGAAAATGGCTTTAAAATGCAGTAAAACGATCATAATTCGCCCTTAAAAGTTCGTGAAAGTGAATTTTTGTAGATTTTT